GTTAAAAATGAGGGTTTCTGGATTTGATGGCATGATGTTGGTTATGTAAACGTTAACCGTTTTAACCACCACAGAAATTACTGCCACCCTGGTGAAGCTGGATAATGCATGAGGATACTGGTCAAGATGTTTTCGCCAACAAACACACCCGCAAAAGGCACATGGAGTTCAACTTTGAATGAAACATGGCACTGAAACAGAATGACGCTGGAAACTGAACAAACTGATTTCCAACAATCATCCAAAAATTTGTATAAGAAACAATTACTGCCCAGAAAAAAAAAAGTCACCACCTGGAATGAAGCAAATAGTTAGCATCCTTCCATTGGACAGATAGTGAAGTTTCAGATGGCAATAGATTGAACCCTAATTGATGCAGTGAGTAATTTCTCTTTCTTAAAGAATCGTGTGATATCCTGTGGTCGTGAACTTCATTTAATGCCACTTCAGGAGGATAACAATTTAACTCTGGAGCATTGTAAAAAATAAATAAATAAAAGGCATGTCGTCTGATGAGGTCCCTGTTCCAGAGTCATTGGTGCACTGGGGTAAGAAAAGAGGCGGATGAAGTGATGCATACATCATGGCGAATGCCTCGCACGGGGGCAGTGTTATGATCTGAGCAGTTTGAGTTTCAGCAGCATTACTTGCCCAAATAATGACGTCAGCACATGACCTGAATATCCTCCAGGTTTTTTCAGTAATGTTTGTTTCTTTCCTGATAGCACGGTCAGATTCCAAGATGACAATGCCAGGATTTGTCAGGCTCATATAGTGAAAGAGCAGGTCAGGGAACACAAATCATTGTTTTCACACATGACTTGGCCGCAGACTCATTGAGAATCTTTGTGATGTTCACAGTGGCCTGACACTGCTATCATCAAGATCCTGGCAAAAAAAAAAATTGAAAATTAAACCAACCCTGGATAGAAATAAATGCTGTGATATTCCATAAGCTTATCAAAACCATGCCCTGATGATTGCATGCTGTTATCAAAGCTAAAGCCGGTCCAATAAAATATTAGAATTTGTAATTTTTTTATTTTTTTTTAAAATTTGGCCGAGCAGTGTATTTAGCAGGAAAAATTTTTTAAATAAAATAAAAAGTAAAACTGTATCTAATGTAAACAGAACAAAAATCCACACTGGGTGGAGTCAGGTTGGTAAAATATGACCCAGTTAGAGGTGTTGTTTCCACTAAAAGCAAAATAGAAGCCCGATGTTACTTTGTCTAAACGACTCATTGTGTCTTGTAGACTCACAGTGATCTTAAAAAAAAAAAAAAAAAAAACCCAAACATTTATACACCCGATAAAGAAAAAAAAAAAAAACAACAACAGTGTGGCACAGATTAACAGCAATTATTCTCTTAATTCTCTATTTAATAATTCACTTCCAAAAATTATGTATCTCACAGTACATAGTCATAATATTTACTATTCTCTTAAGATAATTAGGTTACTTTTGCTTTCTTCTGAACAGACTTTCATAACACAATAGGTTTGACATTTGGCACAGGAATTAAAATATATAATATTCTGTAAGTTATCAATAAATTAAATTGAATCTACACTGTATAAAAATACATGGCAGGTTATAAACCAATTTTATTTAAGGCCCAACTATGGAAGTTGCTGCAGCTTGTGTGACTGCAAACTGCAACCAGTTACACTCTGGCTCCTCTGGACTTTCAGAAGAGACAGAAAGCAACGCAAACTCAAGAAAATCCAGCCGGATATCTGCATATTTGCAGTAAAACAGCTGTGAATGACTACATATAATGCTCTTCCCTGACAGAGGCTTACAGAGAAAGTAAACCAGATAACTTAAAATAAAGGTGCTGCTGCTGGCGATGCTATTGGCCAGTATTTTTATATACATTTATAAACTGGTGATGCATCTTTAGAATAAAGGTTGTTTTTATTATTATTTAATTATCATTTATCTTTCTTTTTCTTCAATCTTGTCAGGGAATGTTGATGCTGAGCATCACTTACACCAGGTGTAGGTGACGCCAGGCCCCCTTTTCTTCTTTTGTCTCCGAGTATATTGACTTCCTGCTCTGCATACAGATGGGCAAAAAAGTATTTAGTCAGCCACCGATTGTGCAAGTTCCCCCACCTAAAATGATGACAGAGGTCAGTAATTTGCACCAGAGGTACACTTCAACTGTGAGAGACAGAATGTGAAAAAAAAAATCCATGAACCCACATGGTAGGATTTGTAAAGAATTTATTCGTAAATCAGGGTGGAAAATAAGTATTTGGTCAATAACAAAAATACAACTCAATACTTTGTAACATAACCTTTGTTGGCAATAACAGAGGTCAAACGTCTACTATAGGTCTTTACCAGGTTTGCACACACAGTAGCTGGTATTTTGGCCCATTCCTCCATGCAGATCTTCTCGAGAGCAGTGATGTTTCAGGGCTGTCGCCGAGCAACACGGACTTTCAACTCCCGCCACAGATTTTCTATGGGGTTGAGGTCTGGAGACTGGCTAGGCCACTCCAGGACTTTCAAATGCTTCTTACGGAGCCACTCCTTTGTTGCCCGGGCGGTGTGTTTTGGATCATTGTCATGTTGGAAGACCCAGCCTCGTTTCATCTTCAAAGTTCTCACTGATGGAAGGAGGTTTTGGCTCAAAATCTCACGATACATGGCCCCATTCATTCTGTCCTTAACACGGATCAGTCGTCCTGTCCCCTTGGCAGAAAAACAGCCCCATAGCATGATGTTTCCACCCCCATGCTTCACAGTAGGTATGGTGTTCTTGGGATGCAACTCAGTATTCTTCTTCCTCCAAACACGACGAGTTGAGTTTATACCAAAAAGTTCTACTTTGGTTTCATCTGACCACATGACATTCTCCCAATCCTCTGCTGTATCATCCATGTGCTCTCTGGCAAACTTCAGACGGGCCTGGACATGCACTGGCTTCAGCAGCGGAACACGTCTGGCACTGCGGGATTTGATTCCCTGCCGTTGTAGTGTGTTACTGATGGTGACCTTTGTTACTTTGGTCCCAGCTCTCTGCAGGTCATTCACCAGGTCCCCCCGTGTGGTTCTGGGATCTTTGCTCACCGTTCTCATGATCATTTTGACCCCACGGGATGAGATCTTGCGTGGAGCCCCAGATCGAGGGAGATTATCAGTGGTCTTGTATGTCTTCCATTTTCTGATGATTGCTCCCACAGCTGATTTTTTCACACAAAGCTGCTTGCCTATTGTAGATTCACTCTTCCCAGTCTGGTGCAGGTCTACAATACTTTTCCTGGTGTCCTTCGAAAGCTCTTTGGTCTTGGCCATGGCGGAGTTTGGAGTCTGACTGTTTGAGGCTGTGGACAGGTGTCTTTTATACAGATGATGAGTTCAAACAGGTGCCATTCATACAGGTAACGAGTGGGGGACAGAAAAGCTTCTTACAGAAGACGTTACAGGTCTGTGACAGCCAGAGATTTTCCTTGTTTGAGGTGACCAAATACTTATTTTCCACCCTGATTTACGAATAAATTCTTTACAAATCCTACCATGTGGATTCATGGATTTTTTTTTCACACATTCTGTCTCTCGTACCTCTGGTGCAAATTACTGACCTCTGTCATCATTTTAGGTGGGGGAACTTGCACAATCGGTGGCTGACTAAATACTTTTTTGCCCCACTGTACAACACTAATCTAAGTTCAGCTCTCTTTTTCACCCCTTCTGCTGTTGGTTTCATGACACAAAAGAGGCCTGCTGAAGTCAGATCTATGTCTGATGCTTGTGAAGGAGGAAGTTGCCACCTTCATCGTATGTCCAACCACCTATTCTGTTTTCCAGACCATATTCAGAACCTTTACGACCTCCTCATAGATGATGAAAACTATGGCCACATCAAGACATACACGGCCAAGCCGGGGAACTGTTCCTTTATAGAACCTGTAGAGGGATAAAGAAAGAGGGAGGAGTATGTAAGACATTAATTGTTTAGGGTGGAGCCATATTTATCTGCGGTTAGGGTTATATTTTCCAGTATTTTGATTAGTTTTTGTTTTTTTTAATCATTTGGCACATTCTTATTCTTAAAGTGTTTAAGTTTAGATTTTTTCATTCAAGTTCTTTAGAGTAATAAACTAAAGCCAAAAGCATTTCTTATACAGTGTTGACAGTAGAATCTGTGAAATAAAGAAAGACACATTGTTTTTTTTAAAGCTGTGTTGTTTTAAATCAGCTGTGAAACCAACACTACAAGCCAAACCAAACGAAATAAAACATGGAGGTGTACTTACGCTGCCAACCCTTCATATCTCAAGATCTTCATGGCACAGTCCAGCGTGCTTTTATATTTATGTGCTTCTAGACCCTTTAGAAAAAGCAGAAGAGCATTAGTACATCTGTCCACGGGTTGCAAGTTCGTATTTAAAAACACAAGCAAGTAAGAAAAAGCGTGTGATTTGTAGCATCTGTTGCATTATGTACCTGCATCCTTGTCTTGATGACATCTAGTGGAGTGTTTCCAAATACACTGGCTGCTCCTGCTGTGGCTCCAAAGAGTCCAGTCACCAGTGGATTTATTGCTTTGTTGGGGTTATCACCTTATGAATGTGACAGAGCAGTATGAAGGGTGGGGTTAGCTCTAAATCAGAGTTAGTTCTAAACTCATTAACATGAAGGATACTAATGTGCTAATTAATTTCACATCATAAATATTAAAAGCAATACTCTATATATCAATCTCTACACACTGTATTATTACTATGCAAAACAGCCTTTGGAAACCCAACTGGGGTTCAAAGAACTGCACAATGACCTACAATAACCCTTCAGACCATTTGCAGAGTTGGTCTCTTTTTATTAAATATTGTTTATAGTAATAACAAACCAGCTGTACTCGTGTACACGCACCTTTGTACCAGTTCTTGAGAGAAGTCATCACGAAAAATCGAATAGCCTGGTTGGAGCCTTGCTTCAAGACTGTTGCAGTTAGACCCTGATATGTCCCTCTTAATCCTGTTCAACCCGGAAGCCAGAGGATAAGTTAATAAATCCTTCTTCAATTAAATTAGACAGCACATTGAATAGAAAAGAACCTGAATACCACAGTCCAATCCCAATTTCCAACTTAAGGGCTAAGAACTAAAAGCCTCACAATCTTAACTGACATCACATCTCAGTGTTTCAGTATGAGAGGCTGTAAATGTTGTTGGAGGGGGAGGGCAGGGGGGCAGTCTGTCTGATGATTTACACAATGATATGAGAGTGAATATTGTTGTTGATGCTTGACCAGGGTCAGTGTTTCCCAGTGCATTACCCTAACCAACCAGCAGATGTCAGGTGAATGTCATGCATGAAGCCCACGTTTACCTTGAGCCCTGATCATCTCTCTGACTCCGTGGAAGAATCCCTTGTATTTGGGGTTGGCTGATGTCTGGTCATGAATGAATTTAACCTTGGGAGATTAAAGACACAAAAATACAGACGATACATTTTACAGATGTGGGAGTGAAAACTGAAGAGGTTTAGTGTAGTTCTCTTACAAAGAATATTTCTCTAAAAAGGTTGGTAACTTTAACCTTCAGTCAGTGGTTTTCAACTAGTTTTACTTCATAAGCCGAAGACACAATATGACAAAAATCATGATGAGAATAATTTATAAGTCATTCTTAACAATTCTTCATAGACTCTGATAAAATTGTGGCTATATCAAACTGTATACAAGCCACAGCCTGCACAGAATGTGGCACACATTATTTTATCTCAGTAATCTTTTAATAATCGCTGGAATCCAAAATTGCAGCCGAAATAGCCGCAGTCTCTCACAGGGCTAAAACAGTGAAGCAGAACACCGCACCCTCTCACATCCACGCAACCAAACCTGTCTTTGAGCTGTGGGAGGAAATCCTCACAGACACAGCGACACACATGCACACTCCCCACAGAAAGGCCCCAGCAGACAAAAATTACAACCAGAAACCTTATTGAGGTTTTTCAGGTGATGTGAGCTCTAACTGCTGCACCATCACGCTGCCCACTTTCTGAAAACGGTCACATTTAACAAACGGTCCATTTAGACAACAGATTATGAACATCCCAAGATGTCCATGTTTGCACTGAAGTTCCTCTAACATGAAGTGATTTTAAAATGCACAAATATCTCTTATCCCATTTAGTAAAATTTCATTATTTGCAGTTCATAATTTATAGATTATAATTCACAGTGGACCTACAAAGGCACCAAATTATTGCACTTTATCTAAGTTTTTATACATTTTCATACATTGACACTGTTGCTCTCTCTATATATTGAGGGTCAGCTCAGATGAGCTTCAGAAACACACCTTGACTGTTTCCATTGGGCAGACCACCAGAACAGCCTCCATGACCCCGGCTCCAAGCCCACACAGCAGGCCTTTGGTGCTGTCCAGTCGACCGGACTCATCCTTGGCGTGGTTACTGAGGAACTCAAACACCCCAAACCTAACAAGTAGGAAAAAAGCCAGCAAAGAATTATGGGAAATGTAGACATAGGAGTGTCTGAGAAAAACAGACTGAATAACAAAGTTAATCTCATTTAATAATTACATGTGGGCAATCTTTGTGATTACACTGTGAAATAATTTCTTCTACAAATACTCAGATTATTTCAGTCTTTCACATGGCAACACTGCAAGTTCAAAGTTGGTTTAAGAAATTAAACTACCCACTGTAGTCACGTTTGTTTTTACTAAAATTGAGTAAACTAAATAAATTCAAATAGATAGTAATACTGCAGGCAAAGGTAAGGGTTTTCATGTCTCAGTGAGCACAGATGAAATTAGAAAGCTTCTTCCAACTCAGATTTTTGGAGAAAGCAAACTGCTGTAACAGCCTAATGTGTTCAGCCGTTTTATTTTATTGTCCTGCATCCTCATTAAAGATGAACCAATAAACTGCAGAGTCTCAGTAACCAATGTGTGACCAGCAACAGCTGCCATGGAAGCCAGCCCAGCTACAGAGAGGTGTGGTTTGTGTTTCTCTGCAAATGGTGTGCCAGCAAGTCCTTTGCAAGAAAGGTTATTTATAGATGGAATTGAATTGTGGCGGCGGGAGGACACTGCCTGGTACATTTAGCAAAGAGGAGGGGGAGCACAGACATTAGGTCTTGATGAATGCTTTGTTTTCCTCTCTTTTCTCAGTCTGCTTGAACCATTTACCTGCTGTTGTAACAGGTCTAAAAATAAATAAATAAATAAAAAAACTAGACTCGCTTCATCAGATTTTAGTTTTCTTCTCCATCTGCCGTTCTAACCAAGACTTACTTCTGCTCATTAACTCTCCACATCTGTTCCTGTCTCACTACTCGCACTGATTCAGATTGTTTTGAAAGACAGGCTCCCCACAATAAACTGAATCCTTAGCAGCACCTAACAGTACATAAACATAAATTCCTGTCTTTTCTCACACCATTTGCTGACTACAAACGCTGTTTTAGCTTAGGGCAAATTAAAAAATAAAGCTCTTCCGCACAGCATGCTAGAATGATGGCAGAGCACTTAATGACTAACCTTGTGAAACAAATGCTATTCATTAAAGTCTGCCGAGGAGAAATATGCTACTGTCAGGCTCTCTCCTTTGCCAATTTACTCTATAGCCTCTCCCCGACTCATTTAACAAGTGGACTAAACTTTACAGTCAGAATGTGACACATCGTTTGGCTGACATCCACAGTCACAGATGAGTCATCCTAGATAGTGGACTGCTGCCCAGTCTTCGTTAGGGGGTCGTTTTTATAGGGTCACTTTTTTCTGTCGAGAAGACGAAGGAAAGGAAAGGAAAGGAAAGGAAAGGAAAGGAAAGGAAAGGGAAGGGAGAAGAAAGAATGCTGATGCTGATATGGATGAAGAGCTAAGGAGAGACAAAGGTCAAAAGCTCTCTTGCATGTCCCTCTCTTACCTCCCTGACAACCTTCCAGCATACTCCATGGCACATGAGGGTGCACAGGCAATCAGTTAATGGAATGAGCGGGCTGGAAGAAAAGGAGTGATGGAAAAGACGAAGGGGAAAGAAGATGGAGGAAGTAAGAAAAAAAAAAGGCAGGGGTAGAAAAACTAAGCAGACCAAGCAGTGCTTAATAGAAAAGTGTCAAGGTATTCTCCATTAATCAAAACTGACTTTCCAAATCTCAGCAGTTTTTAATTTCTCATATTCATTTTTCTTTTTTTCTTTTTTTTTAACTCAAGTATTTATTTTCTGCAGTATTTTGAAGTCACTGGTTTTCCCTCTGATCCTTTTAAATATACAGCTTTTGCAGATTTAATTATAACTATAATAATCATTATTATTAGACATTTAAAGGGGTAAGAATCTTAAATGAAAAAGACCAAAAGACATGTAGACAATGGAGACAAAGGCATTTCATACACATTTCTGTATAAAATGTGACCATTTGTATGTAGTTTTAATTTTCAAAGTAGGCTGATCTCAAGAGCAGAAATAGAAGATGACCTTACCCATCACAAAAAGTCAAAATATCCTTATCAGTTTGTTTAGTCTCTTCTATTTCAGTATCAAGTAGAAAAAGCATTTTTGCAGGATCATTTATATGTTTCAAATCTGCCTTTAATTTTGTCCTTTTTGTGATTTTATTAAGAATTTTTAATATTTTTTCTTTAGGGCTGACAAAGTATAAAAAAAAAAGTTAAACAGCTGATTATAGTCAACAGCTAAATGGGTCACAAGCTTAAAAGATTCCTGGCCTAAATGTGTATACACCACAGAGAGCATGTTATACGAATGCTAATATGCAATGTGGACATTTATAAAGATTTTTAAACTTCACTGCACAGTAGAAAGTGTCCAAAATCCATATATAAATGACATCATATTCCCTTATAACATTTCTATGGCAATAAATGGCTTTTCGCCACCCTGCCATATTCCCTCACAGAAAATTCTCCTTTAAGCTGAAACAAAACCATTCAGACTCACTCTTAAAATGATGCTAAAGGCTGATTGACACACACACAAACATATACACTGTGCATCAGCATAAACACACCCAAGTCTCCCTGTTTGTAACCCTATTGAGACCCTGTCGGAGTTTGAGTGGCATCTTTGCTCCGCCTGGCTGGGCCTGTCTCTCTATTGTACA